TATGTATGTTTAACAATCAAGGTTCTATGTGCATCTTGAAATGTTTGACTGTTTTGTCTTTTAAAGACAATAATATACTTGTGTCATAATGTGATTGTGCCATCTTAAAATATTGTGTGTAATAAAGATATGCCTATGCAAGATTGATAGAAATGGTATTTCACAAACACCAAAATCTGAAACAAAATTGGGAAATGCTTGTGCAACTAGGGACTGTTATGACAATAGTTGTACAAAATGCTGGTGAATCTGGCATTCAAAGATTTTTATTTAAAATCAAGATCATTTCAGCTGAGTTAGGCTTCAGTCTGTCCCTCTTCTTTGTTACTACCTCTCCACCTTTGGAGAAGACCTTTTCACATGGCACAGAAGTTTCTGGCATATGAAGATATCTTTTGGCAAGCTTGTAAAGATTAGGATAAACCGCTGCCCTTGAGTCCTATTATTTTAATAGATCTTGTCCTCTGGAGAGGTAGGGCTCAGCCAAATAATGCTGACCCTCCACTGTTGCTTCAGCTGTTGCATTTTGAACTCTTTGAGTTGCACTTGCAGGAAATTAGAGCAGAAGAAGGTGAAACCCATTGTATGTGGTTTTGTATTTGAATGTCTATGTCCCAATGTGAGTGCATAACTGTATGCCAGTTTATCTAATCCTACCTAAACCTCACTCTCCCTGGCTGTCAATCAATGAAACTATAGCAATAACTCACGCAAAAAACTCTCCTCCGCTCAAAAAACCCTCGAAGTGTAGAAGGATTGCGCTCGTTTATAAGCATGGTGAGAATTTGATAACCCTGTCCTGTATTCAAAACCGGCGCGACATCGCCGATACACATGTGACATCATGAAGCTTCATTTGGGGAGCCATGTGATATCTTGCATGATGAAGCGAGGCATCGAAACATCTTGCCATGATACTTATGCTTTGAAAGAGCAATACTGTGCCGAGCTGTCTACTTCGACTATAACATCACTACTGTTCACCACACCCTGCCTGTTCGTTTTTGTTGTGGATTTTCAGTTTGTGCTTTCAGGTTTCAGGTTGTTTGAGGTTTTTGTGGTTTTGAGTTCTTTTGCTTAGCTCCCTGACTGAACTGTTTGTAAGTTTCTGTCAATGATCTCTGGTACTTGTGTCAGGTTGAGCCTCTTGTGTTTTTTGCCCTAGTCCTATGTTACAATCTTTCATTAAAAACCCAGTTTAAGCAACTCCTTGGCTCATGTGTCTGCACCTTGGGTCCTAACTAGTCAGTAAAGTCTAACAATCTGGTATTTACAGTAGCTGTAAATTACCAGGATATTCACCTATACAAATAAATGCCTGTACAGTCTGCTGTTAATTGTACAAGAAACTGAGAGAGTTCCTGTTAGTTTCCTCAAAAGACTACCCAAAATTATTAATTGTTAATTAAATACTACAGTGAGTCACTTTAATTTTAAGGTCTATCACAACTGCAAAATCTATGGAATTTTATAGCATGTGTGAGCACGACTGTTATTTGCTGTCATATCAGTTTAAAACACAAAACTGAGGAATTTCCAGCACAGCTAAAACCACAATTGCAGCATGATCAGCGAAATTATTTTCCAGTTAATAAGTGGATCTATATTACAATGTACCACAGTCTAATGTCATAAAGAACTAAATAAAAAAAATGTTAGTCTTTCTAGGACATTGCATATATCCATCCATTATCATCCACCTATTTGAGACTGGGTTGCAGTGCAACAGGTTCAGCCAGGCAGTCCGGACATCCTTCTCCCTGGCAACGTGTTTTAGCTACTCTAATGGGATTCCGAGGCATTCCCAGGCTAAATGAGATATATAATCTCTCCAGTGTATTCTGGGTCTGCCCCAGGGTGTCCTACCAGTTGGCCATACCCGGAAAACCTCCAAAGGGAGGCACCCTGGAGGCGTCCTGATAAGATGCCCAAACCACCTCAACTGGCTTCTTTTGATGTGAAGGAGCAGTGGTTCTATTCCGAGCCCCTCCTGGATATCTGAACTTCGCATGCTATCTCTAAGGCTAAATCCAGCCACCCTGTGAAGGAAGCTCATTTTGTCCACTTGTATTCATAATCTTGTTCTTTTGGTCATTACCCCACTGCATATATTGCAATCTTTATTTTTTCACTTATCTTTCTTAAAACAAACAAAAAACAATGCCAAGCATTGCCCTTTCAATCATATTTCAATAATATTGTTCAATAAATGATTCTTGGCACTGCAGTAATTCTCTGTGTACTGATTTACAACCACAGGGATCATTGGCGTCACTTATAGCCGGACTTGAACTCCATTACTGTATGTGTACATAAATAAATATAATTGCATTATAAGTAATGGAGTAACGGTAACAAGTTCCTATCAGCAGTAATGATAGGACCATGTCACCCACACCAATGTTTATGCTTTGCTTTGCTGATTTATGCCAAACTGTTACGGCGAGCTGTGTGTGAGTTGTTTAGGACCCAGTAAATATGCAGATTCGAACCCAGGCTAGACAAGAAAAATGTATTTAATGCTCCATGAAAACAAACAAAACAGAGCCGGTCTCGTCTGCTGATCTTGGGGCAGCTGGGCACACTGAGTTGACTGGACTACTGTCTCCCGGGGTGAATGAGAGGCGTTGCTCGCTAAATAAGAACAGAGAGAGAATTTAAGAACAAGCAGCAGGTATGGTATAGATTGTTTCTGGTAGTCACTCTGGGGACCTGAACAGCTGAGTGCGCCGCAGGCCCAGGGAGTAGTCCAGGGAGGGGGAGACTGGTGCCAGAGATCTCGGGTTCGGTGTGTGGGTCCCCTGATGAGGCAGCGCTGGCTGAGCGGTGCGACGTAAGATGGTGGCGCTGCCCCAGGATTGCCTTGGAGCTCTGAGAGGAGGAGCAATTCACAAAAAGCAGTCCAAAAACCAAAAACTCCTTTAAGCGTGAGAAGGGCACGAAAACCGATACAACAGAACAATGCGCAATAACAGTTCACAATGTTGCGAAAGGAGCGCAGATCAAACAATGGCCCATAAACTTGAGGCCTTGATATGAACATGAAACGTAGTTACCAACAGGATAACACATATAATCTGGCAACGAGGACGCACCAACGCTGACCCTATATACTGCTCCGATAATGGAGAGCAGGTGTGCCTCGTCGCCTGGAATGCACCCTCACCTGTGCGGGGGCGGAGCTGTTGGAACTACCTGTGCTTGCTACCGAGGTACATAGGGCGGCCCGGGTCACGGACGTAACACAAACAGTGAAAGTCCATGCTTTCTGAATTACTGTCCTGTGTAACAATCAGTAATTACCTGAGTTCACTGAGGTTAAGAATAATCAGTGGTATTATTTGTCCTGCAGAGCTATCTCCTGCAGTACAGCCAGATAAAGGAAGAGAAAATGTAAACAGTCTTATATCTGTGTTGTGTTTTTCTATGTTTTACCGTACACTCAAAATGCTTTCACACTAATTGGCAATTCATGCACCAGTGTTATCACTGGGGGTTCAATGTCTTGCTCAAGGACACTTCAACATGTTGACTGGACAAGCTGGGAATCAAATTGCTAAACTTCTGGTTAGGAGACGACCTGCTCTATCTCCTGAGCCACAGCCACCTCCACTCACTTAAAGATCTGTAATACCATGTAAATGTATTGGTCAAAAGGGAATGCGATGGGGGACTTTGGAAAACACAGTGTGTATTGTTGTCACTGCACATCTATTGCTTTTCAGCATTACAAACCGTTTAAGGACCAAAACAATATGTGAATTCTTAAATTGAATGCTGTGGCCTTTTAATCCCTTCACACTGGTTAATATTTAATGTGGAAACTGATATCTCATTTACACTTAAAAAACAATGAGGTAAAAGAGAGGGCAAATGTATTTCTTTTTTCTTTAGCTTGATTTTATTGCACTCTGGGGAAATCTAATTTTTGGTAAGACTTCATCCCTGTTTTTAAGTGAAAATGTTAGATAACCCAGGAGAACAGAGTGTTAGTTTCATCCAGCTGGTTAGCAAAGTCTTCTTTGTGTCAGCGAGGTTGAAAGAGCAGCATATGGGAGAGAGAGTGGCAGGAGGAGGCCCAGGTTGAGTCCTTAAAGTGTGGCACTGTTTTACTTAAAGTTCATAAAATAGGATGATTGCAATGCAATGCTTTCATCTGTCTCTGTTCTTTTTAAAACATCATGGGATAAACTGGGGACTGTGCATCATAGAAAAGTGTTTTGGGTTGTGGAAAGCAGGGTGGATCATGTCATCGCTGGAGAAACAAGTCACACTTACCCAAATTGGCCAATAAAGTTTCTTCATTAATTGTCCATTGTCCTACAGAGCCAGCATACATTTGAAAAATAAGGACACAATTCTTAATAAACAAACATCTTACATAAATCATAAGCCCAAGTCAAAGCAATAAAATGATGGATGTTTTATGCTCTGGAGCCGGAGTTACTTTGAATACCAATATCCCCCCATGTAGTTAGTGGAGTCATTTACCTTCCATCTGAATTCGTCATGATTTCCTGGTGCAACTGATTGCCTCTAATTTCAGCTGAGCATCTGGATAAGAGGATATATTGTGGAACAAGAGGGGAGGCTATGGGTCTTTGGATAGCAGAATGCCAGCTAAATGATCTTCAGTGGACGTAGGCTTAAATGGAAGCTAAATGGCGACAGCAAACACTCTTCTCTCTGAAGCTCATTACTTGCCTCTCAGCTCCCCAGAGACCTGGCTCAGCTTCATGCCGAGCACTTTCCTGCCAGGAGGAGGGTGATTACAACATTTTGCTTGACAAAAGCAACCCCCCCCCACCACCACCACCACCACCACCATTTTTCTCACCACTTCCTGTCTTCTGCATCACCCTCCCCTTTCTCTCACCCTCTTCCCTTGTTTGCTTTCTTCTGGATTTCTTTCAAGCTCCCTCTCTCCTGCACCTCACAGGCACCCCAGATGATTCATACTTTGATTTGTTTTTGTGCCCTGCTTATGACTGAACTTAGAGACAGGCAAGCCGTGAATGGTAAAGAAGAGTGTTTACTTGCTAACAGACAATGGTGAACAAGCAGAATTATGAAGCATGTAATCCATACAACAATAATAGCAACAAAAACAACAACACAAAAATGTAAATCAAAAGCAGTTTGAAAGTGAATCACAGGAGAGTTGCAAAATGGCAAGCAAATGGGATAAACAGTGATGTACGCACAGGGTAACATCCAGCCAGGGAGAAGTGGAGGCTTACGCATTTCTCTGCCAAGGCTCAATGTACTCAAGACCCAGATGGGTAAAGATGTCCTTTTCAGTCATAGCTGCCAGAAACTCTTTCTGGGGAGAGAACAAACAAGCATAAATTGATGAGTTGTGCAAAAATGTGTGAGACTTTGTCTCTGTGACATCAGGAGGAGAGGCTGATAGTGTGGTGCAGAGAGAACAGTCTGCTCCTTAATACCTTAAAGACTAAGGAGGTCATTGTCGACTTCAGGAGAAATAAAACCGACCACTGTACATCAGCAGGGACTGTGTGGAGAGGGTGCCGGCCTTTTGCTTTCTGGGAGTCCATATTAAGGAGGATCTGATCTGGGGCATGAATATCTCTAAACTGCTTAAAAAGGCCCAGCAGAGCCTGTACTTCCTACAGGTGCTCAGGAAAAACAACATCTCCCAGAGACTGCTGGTGTCCTTCTATTGGTGCTCCATTGAGAGCATCCTTACATACTGTATATGTGTATGGTATAGCAGCAGCACAGTGGCTCTGAGGAAAATGCTCCAGAGGGTCGTTAATACGGCCCAGGAGAGCTTCGGCTGCCCTCTCCTCATTCTGGAAGAACTACACAGTTCCCGGTGCTTCAAAAAAGCCCAGAACATCATTAAGGACACTTCACACCCAGGATGTTCACTCTTTGAACTGCTGCCGTCAGGTGGATGGTTCAAAGCAATCAAATCAAGAACCACTGGATTCAGGAATAGTTTTTACTCAATAGCAGTTACCACACTCAATGCTGCTAAAATATAATATGCCTGTGTGTGTGTGAGAGAGGGCGTGAGAGCTCTGCTGTTTATTTTGTTTTTGTAGAGGGTTAAATTTTTTATATGGTCTTATTTCATATGTTATGTTTTTTTTTCTATCACTGTACCGACTGGAGGCCACTCTAAAATTGTGTTGTACGTGTTACAATGACATTAAAAGATTATCTTCTCTTATCACAGCAGATCTGCAGATTTTCAGCTTTAAGCTTCAGTAGGCCTAATAATGTTAATGTCTTATACCTGCAGTCTTTACCAGGGGTGGGCAATTAATTTTTACAAGGGGCCACATGAGAAACCTGAACTGTGTTGGAGGGCCGAACCAACGATAACTTGAACTTAATTCTGCTCAATATTCATTATCTCCCATTGTAAAAAGCAGTAAATTATATGTGTTGATTAGCTGCTACTGGTAATCAGAAGAATAAGCATATTCCATAAATATTTATATAAATATATGAAACAGTGGTGTAGGTCAAACAGGAAAATACTCCTATAGAAGTAATAAACTGTAAAAATAAAAACACACATTACATCACAGTTCCATTTTATTTTCTACTTCACATAACACTGAAAAGGTAAGTATGGTAAAGATATGCATTTTCAGTTCATTTTACTTGTTCAGTGGTAATCAGAAGAATAAGCATATTCCATAAATATTTATATAAATATATGAAACAGTGGTATGGAAAGTTTTGTAAAAAGTCTTTGTTGGTTATGCAGTTTCACTAGCAAAGCATCCGACTCTCTTGCACGCTCTTCATCCGACAAGTTCTTGTATTTCTCCTCATGTTTGGTCACGTAGTGGCGATTCAAATTGTAATCCGTGAACACAGCAACCTGTGTACCACAAACTAAGCGCACCGCTTTACCTTTGACTTCTGTAAACAAATACTTTCCAGTCCATGCCTTGTTGAAAATGCAGCATTCGGCATTTTCTTTTTTTGGCGTGAGTTGACATTTTGAGGTTTAGCTGGCCAACATCACCTGTCTCTCACCCGGTAGGTCGGGGATCTTAAGTTCACCCGTGAATTTTTTTCATTCATGTTCTGATTTGATGGACCTCACACGGGCCGGACAGGGACACCCAAAGGGCTGGATGTGGCCCGCAGGCCGTAAAATGCCCGTAATTTACTGTGCTTGTACTTGGACTCCTATCTCCACTGAAAGCCATCAGTACCCATCCATCCATCCATTTTCATCCGCTTCATCCGAGACCGGGTCGCAGGGGCAGTAGCCCGAGCAGAGCCTCCCAGACTTCCCTCTCCCCACACACCTCCTCTAGCTCTGCCGCTCGTCTTCTGGTTCCTGTGTCCCTCCTGCTGACGGCTCTCCTGCTCATTTTCTGGTTCCTGTGCCCCTCCTGGTCTCCTCATCCCTGATGGTTTCTCTTCTTGCCTGTCCTTGGTTGCTCCCTGCCTGCTCCCTGCCTGCCCGGAGCCTGCTCGTCTTCCTGCCACCCTGAATACCTGTGTTTTGTTAAATAAAACTGCTTTCTTTGGTTCCCACTCCTCTGGTCTCTGTGTCTGCCTCTGGGGTCCGCCCTCACAAACCGTAACAATCTCAGAGGAAAGTAGGACATACAGTAGATCAACGGAGGGAGATTGAACTTCACTTCAGGAACAGTCACTGCAGTGACCAGCATGACAATTGCTTATCGCAGCAGCTTCTCCAGGGGTGGTATTTATATCCGTGATCAACACGACAAATTGCTCACCTGGCGGTATAGGCGTAAGTGCCACTTGAACACACAACACATACTACAGCAAGCAGCCAACTAGCACATACGTTCTGCACCTGCTTGACAGAAATAACTCCCCCTACCAGCAGGTGACAGTATCTGTATTCACCATTCAGAAAAGGAAAGAAGAAGAGCTAGATAGCAGAAATACCAGTGTAACAAAGCATTATTTGCAAAGCTCTCGTTTACACCAGCTGCTGTTTTTAGCTGCTTCTAATTGATAACGTGTCTGATAAGAAATTTCACATGATATGCAGAAATCCGAACGAGTTTATTTTACAACCTAAATTATGACAACCCAGAGTTGAGTCCAGCATGCAAGGTTGCAGTCTTACACACCTCTCTGCTGTCTCTTTGCAGCTGCTACCTGCCCAAAACTCCCAGTACCCTATAGAGATTGTCTGTCTGCCCCCCAACCACTTATATGAGTTATTCTAATTAAACTTAATTAAAATTAAGACTACTTCTCTTATAGTAGAAAGTAATAGGACAATCAAATGTGGACTATTAAATATCAGATTTCTCATCTAAATCTCTGTTAGTGAATGATTTGTTAAGTGAACATCACACTGATTTATTGTGTCTTGCTGAAACATGGTTACAGCAGGAAGAATATGTCAGCCTAAATGAATCCACTCCACCTAGTCAC